CGGCTGAGCTTAAAAAGGGGAGAAAAAGGTGACGAGAGTGATTCAAGTTAACGGGGCAGCTTGTCTATGGGAAGAGGGTGAATGTTACATAACCCTTCGTTTAGTAGGAAAAGGGGCTTGGCATAAGGTGGAGATTATTTTGATCGGTGAAGTTATGGCCACTCTGAAAGGCATGCAGAAAATCTGGCTCCTTTTTCCTGCAAGCTGGAGGATTGTCCAGCTGAAAAACTAGGCAATAGATTATTCTAAGAAAAAGAGATTTTTTGTGAATCTCATGTCACAGGATTATGGAAAGTAGAAGTACAAATGTGTTCAAAAAGGATTTGGGTGTGATCCAGAAGTTCAAGGTAACTGGCTGCTGATAAGCAAGATCATCCTGGGCATTTCCATGAGCAACAAATTCTTAACTTGACTGTTGGGAGGCTTATGTTAGTGAAAGACCGCATAGCCTTAACCTGCTTTACGTAAGGTTTCTCTAAGCACCTGCCTCCAGTCTCTCTTGAGGACAGCACTCTATATGGGTCTTTGCCGTCATCTAGTAGAGTTTTTACTATTATCTCCTCCCTGATAAAAAGAATCCTTTAATTCTGAATATCTCTCACATTTAGTTAGAGCTGATACCCAAGAGTATGAGGCTTCTTGAAAAATTACTTTCTACATTATTTTGAAAGAAGCCTGTTACTGAAATATCCACTTACTGTATTCAAATATCCATTTACTGTATTCTTTATTTGTGATGAGATAAGCAGATGTTTATCGCACAGTAAAATATAATATAGTTAATATGCATAATAACCTTGTCATTAATGTATTCTCCTCTTAATGAAAAATAAGTAGAGCATCTAACAGCATATGTAATTACGGTATATACAGAAAAAGCACCTGGAAAGATTTTTTTTTAAGCCAAAGGAAGGTTTGTAACTGGACGTGAACCAAAAATCAGTTAGTTTATAGCTGCAGAATTTGAATAAGGCATTAAAGTTTGAATAAGTTTGAATAAGGCATTGAAGAGGTCATCATAAATAACTGCTGTGATGGGGTTTCTCAGCAAGCTGACAAGAAGAACTAATGTAATGTTTAGATAAAGAAGAGAATACAAGAAGAAAGGAAAATGTGGTGTTTCTATGTAATATTGGAAGGATAGTTACTAGAATATAGTGCCTTAGTCTGTGATTCAGAGTGATACTGAAGTTTGAGAGAGAGTTGATAGCATGGCCATGAAAGTGATCTTGATTCTGGAAAAGAAGATTTTATGCATATTTAAAAAGGTTGAGAGTCTGGTCATCAAGGGTAGGTGCTTATTTGTTGAAAAGTGCTATTACTGAGGAGTTCGGGAAGCTACTGGCTTTCCGGAAAAAAGCATAATGATTAGTTGATAATTGAAAATAATCTTGCTTCAGGAAAGAATTTTAGTTTTGGAACATCCACATGATTACGTGGTAGTTTGGGTACCATGGATCCTAGTTAGCGATATAGATATTCAGATTGATTATATCGGCAAAACCCCCTCTGACTAGGGTCTTGGGCATCTAGGACTCTTTTAAATACCTCCATTTTCATGTCTTGAGCTCAGATTGAGTTGCACTTGATTTTTCTTTTTTTTTTCCTCCCCAGTATACTTAATCTAATATTTAACTTCTGTGACTAATTTCACTCTGTGTTGGTAGGGTGGAAGTGTGTGAAAGTTAGATTGTGCTATTTAAGTCGCTATATACTTGGCTCCTCAACATTGAGAATAGTAGCAGGAACGTTATCTATGCCAGTGGCTCATCCAGATTGGGAATAGTAGCAGGGATGTTATATATGCATTTGCTGGTGAGTGGAAAGGGCTAGGAATGTGGACTAAGATCAGTCCTGAATGGCTCTGTACAAAGCTAACGGAGTGCTAAGTGTCATCAGACAGACCTCACTGAAGATACAGTACCACAGCTGGGAATTATGATGAAGTTTAGGCAGGAGTTAGTAGAAAGCTTTAAACACTTGCTGAAGAAAAGGACCTGATGGTAAGTTGAAGAGAATGATACCAGAAAGCAGTATTAAAATAACTTGATTGAATTAACGGTCTATGGAAAAGCAGAATTAAAAACTAGGTTTTGAAATGTAAGAGAATAAAAGCTTCTGTTACAAGACAGAATAACAAAAGAAGAAGAAAAAAATGCATCTGTTTGCATGTGGTGAAGGTATAAAAGAGTTAGCTGAATAAGAAGTGAGGATATAAAATAGTTGGAGAGAATAGGTGAGAAAATTAGCAGTACTTGGATCCACTTATCAGATGCCATCACTAAGAAGGGGCAGGCTTTTGACTTCAAAATTTAAAAATTTAAGCAAAATGTGGCTGTCCTGTCTATCGTGTGAGCTATGAACCTGAGCCTGAAATGGTTACAGGTTCTCTCTTATGTCCTTAAGGGAATTGATAGGAGATGAATACGCGGAGTGGAATAAGATCTCAGGAAACATATGGGCTGCTTGAATAATCATGGTGTTCTTGTCCCTAGGAAATGAGTGGCAAAACATGATTGTAAAAGTGATCAACAAATGGGTCTGGTATTGATTCTATGAGTGAAGTTTAAGTCTGGTACCTTGAGACATCGTTTGGAGATGGATGTACTTCAGTGCGAAGACTCTGAGTACTTCAGTTACTATCCTTCTGAGCTTGAAACTGTCACTGCAGTTTAAAAAACTTGAAATTAAAAAAAAAGATAGTAGAGATTCAGAGAACTTTCATACCTGTATCTTATACATTGTAGATCATAATGTCAGCATTCATTTTAAGTAGCAAGGACACCACAGAAGAGTGAAAATAATTTGGGTCATATCATTTGGTGACTCAGTTCAAGCAATGAGGAAGGCTAAAGAAATGGAAAAAAAAAATGTGGGAGATTTACTTCAAAGTCACATAGAAATTCCAAAAGGTAGTTAATGAATTAGTAGGACCAGTACTATTTAGTATACATCATTATTTATTTGTTACAGAGTGTTTAAATTTAGTAGTAAAATTTACTGTGGTTCTGTAACTCTGCAGGAATAGAATAGCTCATGTTAGATGTCACACGTTCCCCTCACCACCTCTCTATTCAAGCAGGGTCAGCCAAAGCAGGTTGCCCAGGACTGTGTTCAGTCAAATTCTGTGTTTGGTTCAAATTTTGAATATTTTCAAGGATGGAGAATACATAACCTCCCTGAGCAGCCGGTTCCAATGCTCAGCCATTCTCACTACAAAAAAAAGTTTTTCTTAGATCCAAGTTGAATCAGCTGTGTTTTGGTGTCTAGCCCCTAGACTAGCTGTGTTTTGGTGCCTAGCCATCTAGCCCCTGTCACTGAGCATCACTGAAAAGAGTCTTTTTGCCATCTTTTTCACACCCTTCCTTTAGATATTTAAACACATAATAACATCTTCTTGAGCCTTCCCTTCTCCAGGCTAAACAGACCTAGCTTTCTCAGCCCTTCCTCACATTGCAGGTGCTCCAGTCCTCCTTCATCTTCTTAGCACTTTGCTGGACTCATTCTAGCAGGTCCACGTCTTTCTTGTACTGCAGAGGCCAGACATGGATGTTACTCCAGCTGTGGCCTCACCGGTGCTGAGTAGAGGAGGAGGGTCTCCTCCCTTGAACTCCTGGCAACGCTCTGCTTAATACAGCCTAGGGTGCTGTTACCCGCCTTTTCTACGAGGAGCGTTGCTAGTTTGTTCCTCAGCGATCAGCTTGTCCACTAGGTCCTTTTCTGTGAAGATGCTTTCCAGCTGATTGGCCCACAGTATGTACTGGTGCTTGGGTTTTTTGTTCTTCAGCAATTGTTTTTGCATTTCCCTATGTTGAACTTCCTGAGGTTTCTGCCTACCCATTTCTCCATCCTGTTGATGTCCCTCTGAGTATCCTCTGGTGCGCAAACAGCTCCTTTCAGTTTTGTATCATCTGCAAACTTGCTGAGGGTACTTTTGGTCCCATCATCCAGTTGATTAATGATGATGGCAAACAATGTTGGCCCTTGGGGAACACGCTAACAGCTTGTTGTTGTGTTGCTCTTCACAACTCTGAGTCTAAAAGTTCAGCTATTGCTTAGTCCATCTCACTGACTTTTTATCTATCTTGTAGTTCATCTTGCCTGTGAAGTTTAGCTTGCCTACAAGGGTGTTATGGGAGACAGTGGAAAGCCTTACTGAAGCCAAGGTAGACAATAACCACTGCTCTCCCATCATCCAGGAAGCCATCATCTCACTGTAGAAATCTATTGGGTTGATTAAGCCCAATTTCCCTTTGTAAATCCCTGATGACTATTCCAGATAACTTTCTTTATAAGTCTGGAAATCATACCAGATTTTTTTGCTCCATCACCATTCCAGAGATCAAGGTGAGATTGACCAGCCTGTAGTTCTTTGGGTATTCCTTTTCGGCCTTGAAAACAGAGGTAATACTTGCAGTCTTCAGGAACCTGATCACAGTGACCTTTCAAAGCGGCTTGAGAGTGGCCTTGCAACAACATCAGCCAGGACCCTCACCATTTCATCTGGTCCCATGGACTTGTTTATATCCTCTTTGCTGAAGTGTTCCCTAACTTGATACTTTTTCACTTGAGTGCAAGGCTTTCTTTTCAAGTCTTTCCCTTGGTCTTGGGAGGCCTGGGATTCCTGAGGGCAAGACTCGGCAGTAAGGACTGAGGTGAAGTAGGCATTCAGTACCTCAGCCTCTTTTGTGTCCAGTTTCACCAGACTCCCTGCCTTATCCAGTAGCAGGCCCACATTTCCCTGGCCTTCGTTTTGCTTCTTATGTACTAGTAGATGCTTTTTGTTGTTGCTCTTCATGCTCCTCACCACATTCAACTCAATGATGTGCTTTGGCCACCCAAACCCAACCCCATCCCCATCCCTGCATGCTCAGGCCATCTTGGTATTCCTCCCAGGTTACTTGTCCCTATTTCCACCTCCATGCTTCCTTTTTAGGTTTTAGTTTTGCCAGGAGCATCTTGCTCATCCATGGAAGCCTCTTGCCACTTTTGCTTGATAATTGAGAGCTTGTAAGAGGTGATCCTTGAATGTCAGCCACCTCCTTTGGACTCTTCTTCCCTCCCATATTCCCACTAAGCAGGTCCCTGAACAGGCCCCAAGTCGACTCTCCTGAAATCGAGGGATGTGAGCCTGCCTTTTCTCTTGCTCCTTCCTTGCAGGATCTTGATCTCCATCATCTCATGACCATGCAGCTAAGAGTGTTTTTTTTTTTTTTTAATTTATATATCTGTATGTATATATATGGGAAAGCCAAGGCAAGACTTCCTTCTCTCTAGTCCTTCCTTGTTTGTAAGTATAAGGTCCAGCAGAGCATGTCTCCCTATGTGCTTTTCTTATCACCTATATCAGGAATTTGTCATCAATACACCCCAGGAATCCCCTGTTCTGTTTGTGTCCTGCTATTTTGTCCCTCCAGCAGATACCAGAGTAGTTAAAGTCTCCCATAAGGACCAGTGACTGCAAAAATAAGTTTACTCATTCAGAGGAAAAATACTGTACAGAAAGAGCTGGATGGTCTTGAAAACTGGTGTAATAGAAATGGAATTTAATAGTTCAAAATGAAAACTTATCTGAAGCAACAAAGAAAGAGATGGAATGCGTTAATTAGAAATAGGAGATTATGATCACAGATCTGATATTCATGAAGATCAAAATGTGATCCTAGAAGGTGTTATCCCAGGTTACTTTCAATAGAGCTGCGCAACTATTTTGGAGTCTTTTTTTTTTTTTAAGCATACGTGTACATATATGTGTGTGTGTGTAAAAGGAGTGGAATACTGTGTGTAGTTTTCATTGTCAGCATTCAAGAAAAATGAATTCAATTTAGAATAAATGCAGAGCTCAGTTAACTAGAATGATTAGATAAGGACCAAATAATTTCCTGAGGAGACTGAGAGCTTGGTTTGTTTAGCTTAGCACAACTGTGCTTGACAAGAAGTATGTTGGTTCTGCCTCTGCTGAAAGGAAGAAAGGTTTTTAAGATATAGAGTGATGTTAACCAAGATCAAATGAGCATAAATAATAACTGCGAATTGGAAGGTTTCTGGCTATCAGAGGAAATGAGTTTCTGGGTTAGCCTTGTAATGTAGATGATGCGTTTAAAAAGGAGGTTGGTTGTATTTTTCTACAGCATTGAATGATCAGATTCACTGACTATGATGTTTCTTTTATGTCTAATGTTCTGTGTTCCCTTGGTTCCCAATAAAATGATACTGCTTAACTAGCTTATTTAGCAAAGAAAGTGACATTTATTTATTTGTATTTTTTATATAATTAAAAGAAATCAATCTCTCTTTTGTCACGGTAATTTTTAGATTATAAACAACTTTTTCTATTTCTCATTCTGTTTTTTCTCTCGGGTCCAATTTAGTTCCTCAGCTTGTAATAAACTAATTGAAATAAAAGAAAAAGCATGCACCTGGAAAAAAAAAGATCTGCTGCTATCAAAATTCACTTAGCAAAATTATTTTCCAGATAATTTTGCTTTTCCCCATTTAGCGATCTGACTTCCTCCAGAACATTGTCAACAAATTTGTATTGCTTTAACGGTTCACTTTCCACTTTGACTTTATAGCTGACGTGATTGAAGGCAAATTATTAACCAAGTCATGGCAGTTTCTTTCTCTTTAGTAGTGAGGTATCTAGCTTGATACTTTGAAAAAGTAGACGTGAAAATGAGGCTGTGTGCTTGTGCTGCCAGCAATTTAACTCTCTTTTGGGGCATTTCATTATTTACTGTTGGCTGCTGATGAAATTTGGGAAGAATGTAATCAATAGTAGAGTAATCTTTGTGAGTTTAGCTAAGCCTGTAGAAAATAATTTCAGCATTTGTGTCATACTGAGAAGACAGATGAATAAAATCATACATTCTCTTAGATGGAAGGTGAAGGTTTGTTTGTGTGATTTATTATACATCTGAATAAAATGCCAAGTACTATAAATCTGCACTTAGTTTCCCAGAATTTTCAAATGATGAAAAAGTAGGAAGAGGTCAAATAATTGAGTAGATTTTTTTGTTATTGCAGTGTTTCTTTATTTTTTTTAAAGAATATGTATTTTTGTGTGTAGATTTGGGCAGTCTACCTTAAGTGAATAACTTGCTTATAGTCTCAGCTGTGGAATAAACGCTGTAACTATTATTTCTAGTTTCTCATTGATCTATATTTCATTATTGAGATATGTTCTTATGGAAAGAAATGCTCAGACCATGTGGCTGATACAGTCAGAGGCTATTGAAAGGAAAGAGTTATCATTTATGTAAGAAACCAAATATCTGGTTTTTGTTTGTTTTTGTGCCTTGTTTGTTTGCGTGTATGTGTGTATTTTGGCTTACCAGCAGTATTTAAGCCTTATGATCAGTCAGTTTTCATTCCAAATTCTCCATACTTTGGACCAAAAAAAATTGGTAAAAAATTATCCTGAAGCGTCATTGAATTTGTGTAATTATTGTGTAATTTGTGAATTTATGTATTTGTGAATTTGTGTAATTATTATTATTATTTTCCCTTTCTTTATTCATTGTTTTGGAATAAGTAGCTGGAAGCTGCTCTTGACCTGTCACCAGTTTGACCTGGTGACTTCAGTAGTTAGCAGCTTTTTTCCTATTGCTGGTTGTTCAGCCATTCCATTGAGCTGTTTCCACACTGGTGATGATTGCAATTTATATTGGTCCAAAATTTTCGTTTCGTAGGTGGATAAGAATGTAAATACTTAAGATGAATATTTTTAGATGATCCAGTAAAATATTAGCTGAAAAATGAACAGTATGTAGCAGAATTTGCAGATGATTTGCTGTCGCTTAGAAATTCTGCCTCTTTTTGCAATCACAGGCTCCGTAGAAGAGGAATAAGGCAAGCCCCCTCCTATCTATTTTAACAAGGCGTAATTTTGCATTTCAAGAGACTGCATATTATGTTTCCACTGTTGCAAAATCTCTTGGGATAGAATAATAGCAATACACATTGTCGCTAAGTAAAAAAGTCTTTCATTAAATTTATGCTGATGAATCCATACAATTCTTTATTTTTTGTTTTTAACCATCCTAAATTTTAATTTCCTGTTTCTTTAGGAAACATTTGTCGCTCTCCAATAGCTGAAGCTGTTTTTAGAAAACTTGTAACTGATGAAAAAGTTGAAAATAAGGTAAGTAATTTATTTCTGTACCTGCCTAAGAAATAACTGTCTATTAGCCAGTTAGTGCAAATATGAACAGTGGGAAAGCAAAAATAAAATATAAATTTGTTTTTCTGTAGTGGAGGATAGACAGTGCAGCAACATCTACCTATGAAATAGGAAACCCTCCTGACTATCGAGGACAGACTTGCATGAAGAAGCATGGCATTACCATGAATCATATTGCCAGGCAGGTACTGTACTCTTATTTTCTTTAAATATGTATATGTATTTGTTTTGTGTTACAGTGGATGACAGACAGTGCTGCTGTTTCAGACTGGAACGTGGGGCGCTGCCCAGATGCAAGGGCTTTGAGCTGTCTAAGAAATCATGGCATTGAGACAGCCCATAAAGCACGGCAGGTAGAAGAGAGTATATTTTCTTTCATCTTCATACTCATTCTTTGTTCAGCTTTAACCATTACAATCACAGAACTCATTTGCCAAAGTTCATTTGCTCAGAGTTAAGTGTCACATAATAAATATGTGCAGTCTTTCAAAGGACTTTGAAGTGACCTAACACTTCACAGAAGTTCTTCCTCATATGGAGATGAAAACTCCGTTGTTTCAGTTTGTACCCATTGCTCCTTTTCCTGTCACTGGCCACCACCAAGAAGAGTTTGGCCCCATCCTCTTTACATCCTCCCCTTAGGTGCTTGTGCATGTTGATATGATCCTCTCTCAATCTTCTCTTCTCCAGACTGAACAGGCCCAGCTTGCTTAGTCTTTCTCTCATACAATGCTCAAGTCCCTTAATCATCTTTGTTGCTCTGTATCGGATCCTCTCTGGAAGTTACAGAAGTTGCAGATCTAGAAGTTCCACATTCCTCTTAAACGCTTCTAGTTAATGTTATTTTCAACTTAACTGGAACTAAGACTATGAAGCATCTGAGCAATTTAGACATTGTAGAATGATTCTACCTTCAATACCTTAGTATTGTGCACATTCTTCTCAAATATTTTTTGAGTATTACTTAAAATGCATGACTCTGTGGCACTTCTTTAAGCAAAAGACTGATTTGAATTTTAAAGGATTGAATTTTTATTTGGCAGGCCCGAAAAAGAAGTAGAATACCTGTTTATTCATCACAGAATTTCTGCTTTTGGATGAAAATATTTTTAAAATTTTTGGCCTGCCAGATTAGTACTAAGGAGCCTAAACACAAGATTAGTAGTAGGATTGGTAGTAACTTCAGAAGAAAGCATAACCTCAAAACATTCTTTTTGACAAAACTTGTCTCATTTTTCACTAATGAAAGATACTTCCATGTTGCATTCCAGAGGGATCTGAAACAAACATGTCTGCATCTATTTAAATTAAGGTTCTCAAATCAATGCACATAACATTTCAATTAACTATTCTGTGGATATAAAGTGCTCCTTTAGGACTTGACCTTTTCTTGACTTGAGCTTATGCCACTAGTTCTTGTATTGACAAAAAGATCAAGTAGTCATGTTAATGTCTTTCATTTCTGTTCCCTTCAGAATTTTGCTAGACCTTACTGAGGTCATACCTTATTTTTCACTTCTAAAGACTACATGTTTAGTTCTTTAACTTTTTAAAATAAATACCCTCAATTAGTTGATTGTCTTGTGCTAGCCTTTCCTGATGCTAGTCTTCCCTATACAATAGTGCAAACAGATTTGAGCACAATGATGTTCCAGATTTTGACTGTTTTACTTAGTGTTAGAATAAGTGCTAGAAAATGTCAGTCGATCTCTTGTGAACTCTTTCATTACTGGTTCTAGATTTAATGTTTATTACTACTTAAAAGCAGCATATTTTGTCATTATACCAGGTTATTGGTACTTAAACTAGTCAGTTAGTGTTTTAGTCACATCAGTGTTACATGTTTGTCTTCTTAAAAAATAAACCTTAGAAATAGGAGAACTGTCCTTGGGTATTATTGGAGCAGTTTATGAGCAGTTAAGTAAATTATCCAAAACAGTTGATCCTCTGCCTTGAAGCAACTCTATATATGCTCTTTTGGCCTAGAGGAGGTAAGAACACATTCCAGAAGAAAGTTGCCCATACGTTTTGGCAGATGAACCGAATTTAAAGGAGGAGAGCTTGGAAAAAAGAAAAAAAAATGAAGGCAGGCTATAAGTATATCTGGTAATAAAATGCTGCATGTCCAGAGAGAAGAAATTAAAAAGCATGAGACAGTCATATGAAAAACTAACAGGATGAAAATACATCTAAAACATTCCCACGTTCCTTCCCTTAAGAAGGGAATCCCTGGCCTGTGATAACTGTTAGGTTTGTAACTCCACCTATTTCCAAGTTCTGTGAATGATTCTGATATGGCTTCATAGTGCTTCTGGAAAAAAAGAGGGACTTATCAGTGTATGAGTTGGATGCTGATAGTGGTCACATGAGATACAGTGCCGATTCTCATGGTAGTTGTTCCAGAACAATCAGGATAGCCCCAGTTGTTCCATTGTTTCAGAACAGATTGAGAAAGATTTAAACCAGGAGATGCAGAATTACAGAGAAGAGATTTTTTCTTCCATTGTCTTCTAACTACTGTCATGAGATGACTACTTCATACAATTATTCTTTTCTTTCCTCTGGAAAAATATACCCTGCGAAAGGCACTTTCTTTCAAATAATTTTGCACATATTTATGATGATTGTGGATTGCGTTTTTTTAATCCAAAAGTGACACAAATGCTATAAGACTGATATATATAAGAGAAAATATTAAATTGGTTATATGTTGCAGTGGTATATAATAATCATGAATTTTAAGTGTAACTGCTGAAGTTACCAGCATACATATTAAATCTTAACACTTTACTTGGTAATTGGCTCCTTGATATATGTTTATGTGCGTATTGAAATTCTCAGTTCTTGGTCTTTGTATACAAAACAGTTATATTAATCAGTTTCATTTTTATTCGTGCTCAGGTCAAAATTGATTTCAGTATGACTCATGCCTTACATTTGCCTTTAATGTGAAATTGAGATTAGAAGAAGGTTATATAAAACATTGTTTCACAATTGAATAAATGTAAGGACCACTGCAACTCTGTTTTTGAGAGAGAAAAAGAGATTTCATTTCCCTTCTGGAAATGAAGGGCAAATTCTTAGCATAGATAAATTATAACAATGACGCGTTTTTCCACAGACTGCCTTTGATAATGGTTATGTGCATTTTTAATGTGAAAAGTATTCTTATCTGCCTAGTTCCATCCAAAATTGATCACTTAAGCTCTCCAATACTCTTCCCAAAATACATCACATTTTAGGTTCCCTATTTCTTCCCCCAAAATGTGACTAATTTTCATAGTTTTAGGGAATCTTCAGGACACTGACTTCTGCTGAATTCTGCTTTGTGTATCTGATCGTTATTGTAAGGCTGCAAAAGCCCAAGCCAACCAGTCATCCTGTTTTTAGGACAGTGTCTGCATCACCAGAGCGATAGTGATAGCTCTGGTTCGTAAGTTTCAATCCATGGAAGTATACGGGAAGTTTGGCAGGTGTGTTTGCCTTTTCACTGCTTCCCCCCAGCCCAGCAGCACTACAAAGAAGTCTCTGCCTGTGTATTTTCACAGGGGCCGGTACTTCGCTGCACAGAGCTACCAGAAGAAGCCTGTTGAGGTTCTGTAAGGGTTGCTAGGAAAACAGAGCTATTTCTACTGTAAAAATATTTTCATAGGTCAAAAGCACAGCATGAATACAGCTAATATTTTTACAGTGAAAACAAACAAGTCTGGATTAGTTTTCACTGTTTAACTGTTTCTTGTCAAAGCTCCTTTCCCTCAAGTTCTCCCTGTGTGAAATGTATCATGTATAGCTTTAATCTTTTCATGTTCTCTCATATGGGAGATTTATTCAATATGTATTTGCTGTTAACACAAAAACTACGAAGTTTTTACTTCTGCTGTCTAAAAGAAATGTTTGTTTATCTAAATCTTGTAAGTGAAAGCTCTGAGGGCTTCTAGGACAATGCATTGTGTCTTTTTGTCTTTTCGCTTGATTATTTGCTTCCTCTAGCATCTGCCAGAGAAATACATCCTATAGAATCCTTTCAAGTTCCTCAGTTATGAGGCTTACCCATCTTACTCTGGACTTGATTGCCTGAATTTTATTAATAATTGTGTTTAGGAGTCACTAACGTGCAGGAAAGAAAAAAACTGATGGTATGATGGTACAAAGATATAAAATAGATCCCTTTCACATTGTGTTGTAAAATTTGTAAGCTTACATAGTGTCACTGTATTTGTTTTTTAAAAGATTGTAGTTCATACTGTCATACTTTAGCTTTGAATTTCACTTGTTATCCTTTTTTTATAGAAAAGAGAAGTTTCTGGATTGTGTTACATGTTTTGTCTCTTTTTTAAATGTTTTTCTGAGAATTAAATATTAAGATAGTGAATAGACTGCATTTTTATTGCATGGTTTATATAATTGGAAACTTATTTCAGTTTTAGCTATTGGAAAGTATGGGAGGTGGTCACACTTCTAGTGGTGTTTCTGAGTTAATGGTTTATTAAAAAAAATCATTTTTTTGTGGAAAACTCTTAAAATTGGATAAATAACTGTGGCAGAACATATTTGAACACTTTATGCCTTATTGTAAGGAATACTGAAAACAGTGTAATTTTTGTAATTTGTTTCTTAAAGTAAATCATAATTCTGTAATTTGAAAATACTAAACTTTTTTTTCCTGTGTTCTACTCAAACACAGTTTGTAGTCTCAAGCATATATTTGTAATTCTAGATTACTAAAGAAGATTTCCAGACCTTTGATTATATACTTTGTATGGATGAAAGCAATCTAAGGTAATGTATGTAGAAATGGAAAAACAAAATTGTTGACTACTTGTAGTGCTAACTCAGGAATCACTTTGGAAGATAGATGTGATATTTGTGGTTTTTTTTCTTTGTTTGTTGTGTACATGTGCTTGTAGGTGTATGATATCCTAATCAAGAGTCCTAAGACTTCTGATTAAAGTGATTTTTAAAAGTCTTTTTCTAGCATAGGATCTAAAAGATACTGAGGAAATTTAGAACGGATTAACACTTTCATTTACCTTAGACTCAGTTCAAGCAGTTTCCCTGGGAACTCCTATCTGTAGCTCCAGAAACACAGGCTAATTTTACATGGTGATGAAGTGGCTATTATATCCAAAAAAGCAGCAGGCTTACTTTGGGATATCCCTTTTCCTTATTATTGGAGGCATTTGACATCCTCCTGTTTATTAGGTGATATGCCAAAAGCCTTGAAGCAGATGTTTGGGCTTCATTGTAAGTATATGACTGCAATTATATAGCGTGGAATGATGTTCTACAAACAAACATTCTTCTTGTCCTCTGAAAATATGACAAATATTCACAGGGCTGCAACTTTTTTCTATAGAAGGCTAGAGAACTTCCTTAAAATCTGTAACCTCAAGGAATAATTGCTTAGCTAATAGAAGGATCCCAATTTTTAAGAAAAAACATATTGTACTCTTACTTGCAATTTTATATTTCTAAACTATATGAATTACATAAATTTCATAGAATCATAGAACCCTTAAGGTTGGAAGAGACCTCTAGAGATCATCTAGTCCAACCCCCCTGCATACACAGGGTCACCTAGAGCACGTGGCACAGGACTGCATCCAAGTGGGTTTTGAAGATCTCCAGAGAAGGAGACTCCACAACCTCTCTGGGCAGCCTGTTCCAGTGCTCTGTCACCCTGACTGTCAAGTTTTTCCTTAAGTTCCTGTGGAACTTTGGTGTTTCAGTTTGTGGCCATTATGTCTAGTTCTGTCGGTGGCCACCAGTGAAAAGAGGCCAGCACCGTCCTCCTCACTGCCTCTCTTGAGGTACTTACAGACACTGATTAGATCCCCTCTCAGCCTTCTCTTCTCCAGGCTGAACAGGCCCAGCTCTCTCTTAATGCTGAGTTTTATTACTGTAAGTTTTTACAGACTTTTTTTTTTTTTTTTTTTAATCTCATCCATAAATTGGTGTAAGACTTGGAAATCTATTGTGTGTTTTTCAAAGACCCTGCTCAGTGCATAATTTGTTAAACCACAGAGTTAATCCTCACTGCTGTCTTCTTGTGGTATGGTTTAGACAGAAGAGTAAAGTTGTAAAAGCTTAATAGCAACTGTTTGAAAGAATACTCTGCAGGAAATGTTTTGCAATGTATCATTAGAAATAAATTTTAATTTCTCTAGTAGAGAGCAAAGGTGATGATTGGGAATGGAGGTTGTTAATATTAAAGGAATTTAACATGCTCCAACTGTTCAGAATTGTGAAAGTCACAGCACTGAGCTTCTAATTTGATGAGGTTCACCTAAGCTGCATTTAGGATATTGGACACATATTTGTAGATGGGGAAAACACTCTCAAAACTGGTACGTTATATCAGTGGAGTGTAATTGAGGGAAAAAAAATATGACAATCTCATGCCAAAAACATGTTCTGAGAAGCTGATTGGAAAACTAGATTTTCCCTTGACAGAGATCTGAAAAGGAAAAGCAACCAAGTTAAAGACTGCAAGGCTACAATTGAGCTGCTTGGCACTTACGATCCACAGAAACAACTTATTATTGAAGATCCGTATTATGTATGTATAAGAAGTTATTTTCGTGGTTTGATTAAAAGTGGCGTGTGTATATACGTAATTCGTGCGTGTGTGTGTGTGTATCATAGAATCATAGAATTGTTAAGGCTGGAAGGGACTTTTAGAGGTCATCTAGTCCAACCCCCCTGCACACGCAGGGTCACCTAGAGCACGTGGCACAGGACTGTGTCCAAGCGGGCTGTAGTATTTAGTCCTGCCAGATACTCTAGTTCTTATGGAATATATAAAGTGATGAAATACTAAGTCAAGCTTAGACATATTTTCACTTAGGAATTATGAAGAATGAGAGCAAAATAATTTGAATTATTAGTATAGGAAATGGAAAAAAATCTTTATGCTTATATAGGTTATTTAAATTTAAAACGCATCTACATTTTGCATGTAAAGTTCTGGTCAGTCAGCATCATTTTTCAAGAGGAGGTAATTAAGAAACAGAAGGGTACAGAGGTAGGCAAGGAAGCAAAATACTGTCAGCAAAGAGCAACCAGTTAAACAAGGATTCTTCAGCTTGGGACTGAAAAGTGGCAGAAGATGCAATAGCATTCTGTTAAATCTTGAATATCTTGGGAAAAGGTGAAAGGGAATCACTGCTCGATAGACAAGTGGATAGCAACAAATGGCTCAAAACTGGGATTCAAACCAAAAGGGATATTTTCTGTTAAAATGTGAAAGTCAGCATGACAGGGTTCTGTGTAAAGAAAAGAGAGGAGGTTTGTAAGGGCTCAAAGAGTAGAAACATCTATGGAGGAAAGAACCACAATGGCTTTGGGAACTCATGTACCACAGATTTTTCAAAGCGGGAAGAAATATGTCAAAAAAACACAAGTATTTGTACTGGTTTTATATACCTTTGTAATGTCAAATATTTGCAGTTCTTGGCAACAGGAATCTAGTTTGTACGAAGTTTTGGTCTGAGCCTATTAACCTTTCTTATATTTTCTTCCTCTGCTTTTTTCTAGGGGAGTGAGAAGGACTTTGAAACTGTTTACGAGCAGTGTGTTAGATGCTGTAAAGCATTCTTGGAGAAGCCTCATTAATGCAACATTTTATTTCTGAAAGAAAATAATTAGCTCCTCCTGGAATATGTAAGCTTTACTTGATTGGTGTATTTGAAATGTAATGTTATGCCTCCTCAGTAGGGTCAAATTGATACTTTTTCAGTTAAATTTTGTATTGTAGCTCTTCTGTCATCTAAGCAGAAAAACGTAGAAAAGTTTAAGCTTGAATTAGATGATCAACCATTTTCTCATGCATCCATGTAATAATAAAGTATTTCATTCGGAATAAATTTATCTGTGAAGTATTCCAGTGCTTTCTCACAAGCACTGTAAAAAAAATCTTGCTTCTTTGTGCAATACAAGCGAACCTGAATTCCTCTTATTGGACCATTAATGGGTTAATTTAAATGAACTTTAAATGGAAAGGTTAGTAATAGTACCTGCATATTAACTTAGACCAAGCATCTGAACATCATTAGGCAGCTTTTGGACTAAGCTGTTTTGTTTTGTGCTGGGTGGATAAAAGAGCCGTGTCTGCTCTCAGATAGGTATTGCTATTAACATTATTTCAGAACTTGAGCGAGCAACACTTGTGTGAATTGTCAGTCTCATGAAAACAGATTACATAAGTTTAAGTGCTCAGTTAGCAAGAAATAAATCAGTTTTTATACCAATTAAGAGGATCTCAGTTCAGAAATGCAAATGAATATTAATAGTGCGTATCTAGTCTTCCATTGGTCTTGTGGTCAGTTCCTAGCACATCTGTACAAGCATGTGTAATGTATTTATTATTAGGACAAAATGAGTCAATTTAAAAGCGTTGATATAAAGTGTATATTTTGTATTCCACAGTTAATAATATTGTGTGGATTTAAATTATTTTACTAAAGAAATTTGCTAGATCCCAGTATGGTGGACAGCATTGTCATGTCCTGCTCAGGACTGTCTTCAGCGTAAACTACCTATAATATAATAAAGGTCAGTAATAGAGGTTTTACCAAAATGCATTGTGAAAATCCAGCATTTATCTGAACGCTGCCTTTCACTTCTGCCTTAGGTCTCTTTTGAGAGTAGCATCATACCTGCTACCATGGTAGTTTCCCATTTTTAAGTAATGGCTACGTTGATATGAACTGGCACTATGACATTGTCTTTAAAACTTGCTTTCTTACTTAGCCTTGATGTGTTACTGCTTCTGTCTACTTTCCAAACTAATACAGAGCAGCCTCTGGATTTGTCACCCATTCACCTCCTGTGCAAGACATCTATCTTGATAGAAGATTTATTTCTGGGGCAGGAAGAAACTTGGTGTCACTGTGAAGATGTGCTGTAGCCTTCATAGTGGGGGCTAAATCTCTTAGGTCTATTGCAGTGGAAAATAAGTGAAGAATATTTGTGTTAATGAGATTTCTATTTTCTGATTCCTATATTATTAATCAGGATTTTTCTAAGGACACAGCATTACATAAAATTTACAAAAAGCAAATGGTAGATAGAATATCTAAGCACAGAAACAAGAATCTTTTTGCATTGTTTGTTTTACCAATTTTGATTTTTCTGAAGTTAAGAATTTTTAGGTTAATAGTTGTTTTACTTTAGGGATTAATTTAGAGTTTAAACCAAACCAAAATGAAAGATTGTTTTCTTTCTCACCAAAGGAATGTATATATATTTCAAGTCAGATGAAATACTGAATTTGAGGGAAAAAAAAGGAAAATAAAAATCAATTTTTGATGTTAAATCGTTCACAAAATAAATGAATGAAAATAATGGGCAGTAAGACACAAACTGTCTTAGATGTGGTTTTATGCACTACCTCATAAGCAGAAATACTTTAGAGTACTAGGATTTTAAATATTCCAGTGGAAGTAAAATAACTCGGAAGGCTGAGAACATGATAGTTTGTTCTTTCACATCGATAGCTGAGTAGGTATTGAACCTATAGTTTTGTATATTTTAAAGCCAAGACTTAAAAGGTGTAAATATTTGTTTTCACTGTGGGGTAACAGAAAGGTGATAAAGGGAGTTTTCTAGATTTTTGTTTTTTAAACCTTCGTTAGTTTCATCTTGGGGTGACATTTCCAAGCCTAAGTCAAAACTATCTGTGTTAAATTTATTTCAGATCTCAAGTGTCAGGCTTGAGCCAACTTATGTTTCCAGCAAGCAATTTATTGACTAAATAATTCACTGGCTCTGGTACCAGGAATGTTTTTGTTTTGTTTGTTGTTTTGTGGGGTATTTTTTGTTTGTTTGTTTATTTTGGGGGTTGGAGCATCCATTTGTTTTCTTCCTCAAAGAGGATTCATGCTTTGTTTGAGCTTCAAGCTAGGAGGAGAGCAGCACTGTGTTTAGAAAAAGATTGCAAAATACAAGAATAAGAACCAGGAAAGCCTTCGGAGGAAGGACAGCTGCACAGTATCATTATTTAGATTACAAGAGAAACAGTGAATGTAGTTCACAAATTATGAAGATGATTAGGATATTACAGGTTAAAACAAATAGAATTTGCTCTTCCTTAGTCTTTATTATTATTTTTTCTTCTGGTTAAGGTAATAAACTTGTATCTAGGACTAAACTGAAAAAGTAAACCCTTAGTATAGTTGTATCTTCTAGCAAAACCTGTTGATTTTCCCCATTTTTTTTAAGAAAGGAAGGTTTTTAAATAAAAAAGAAATAAAGGCAAGTAGCATTAATTAAGCCATTAAATGTATTACTTCTTTCATTTTACAATATAGTTTTTTTCTAGAAAATTTTGACTTAACCAGATTTCAGGTGTCTTATTAGAAAAAAGATATATGAATTTAGACTGCCATGTTATGTAACATGCTCTGATCTGATTTCAATCAGTAAACTACAGAAAAGCTCAGAGCTCAACCCACATGTTTATTGCAGCTGAGCAGCTGTGTAAGTCGTGTGGGGGTACCTTCTCTTGCCTGCGTGTTTCTCAGTATACATGTAGTGTTGCCTATGAGGAATGACTCTTTTAGCGCTTGGTGATCATAGATCACTTGTGCCATTTTTTTTTCTTTTAAAACAAATGGAGTTAAAGGCTATTTAGGGTGAATTTTTTGAGTCTCCTCTCCTAGCTATTTCTGGTATTTTGTTGTTCCTACATGTGGATGTAATAGAGGACAAAGTGGAAGCTGTGGCAATTTTTAGAAAAAGATCAAGGTGCATCTACAGGAGACACATCTTCCCTCGCTCATTGTGCCATTTTATTATGACAACTGGATTGAATATCTGATTTGAGGAATAAAGGAAAATGCATATCAAAGTCTGAGGAGCCATCAAAACCTCAAAAGTTAGGGTACTACACATATAGTACTGCAGTGTGTTTTTTGGGCATGTACTGATTATATCACTTTACAATATCATGAATAAGCTGCAGATTTTTTAATAAAATTTGGCCAGATAAAATCATATTTAGGAATCTGTACAGAATTGGGGCAGCTCTGTGGTCCGGGCACTTTTTGAGACTGGACCACACAGATCTGGGTATATTCTTAAATACATAGAGGGTGTCCAAGCTACAGGCCTGAGGGGCGTGTCGTTTTTTCCTTTAATCCAAACAAGCACATTCATTGGCAAAAGGGTTGTGTGGCTAAATTACAGTAAGTACCTGAAAACAGCTTCCTCTTTTTTTTTCTTTTTTTCCCCTCTTTCTTTCTTTCTCTAATTCTGGACTCTAAGGGGTGAAAAGAAAACACGATGAAGATAAGTTAATACCAAACACTTTATTACTTATGTTTATTTACAGTATTTACATATTGCACGTTAGCTGGAATGTTTTATACATTTATTATATAAAGTCGATTAATGGCAGCTTTAGTGTGTGTACAAAATCCATGCTCCACTGTCCCCAAAAATATGTTTACTGGGAATTATGTTTGTTTGTCATGCAATTTGTACTCCTAGGGTACAATGTGACCCCAATGCAAGTCTGTTTTAACCAAACTTTTAAAAAATTGCATAAGCATGAAGAATAGCAAGTGACCACAACTACTGTGGAGCAGATCTTTAGTAGTTCTAGATATACAAACAAACATTCCTTAAAACCTCAGAATTAAGCAACAGAACATCAATTTTCTTGGTGAAGTGTTTGTGTTTATGTAATTTTTGGCAGAATTATACATCAGTTGTACAGTGTGTTTTTTAAGTATGGAGCATTAAGTACTACTGGCAGTTATACTACTGTAAAGAATGTCATTCTGCAAACTGTTGACAGCATACAAAACGCATGTTAAAAGAATTATGGGAAGTAGTCTGTCAATCTGCAAAAATAAATCTCTTGTTCACAATGGAATATGTTATAAAGGTAATAAGTTCTATTTCCCTGTTGGTTTCCAAGGCACTTCTCTTGGTTCCTGGTGTTTCTTTTCATGGTAATAACATCTGGTGGATTAAAAGAAAGAAGAAAATTGCCTTTCATCATTTTCATATTCACATACAAGTATTTAAAAAGCATTTATTATATAGGAAGTAAATAAAACTGGAGAATTTGGTAATAATTTTGTAAAGCTCTAAAAGCACATTCCTGATTTAGTTCAGTTGATATCAGCCTGATGACTAAAATAGTGATTAGGTCGAAGTTTTGGAAGTCTTCCTTCCTTGCAGTGTTTCATTTCAGGTAGAGTGAATTTGGAAGACCTGGAGTTTTATCCATTAAATGTGTTCTTAGATCAGCTTGGTTTGTTCCTATGACTGCAGCAGTGAGATCAAAGCATGAGTAAACATCAAGGATAGTACTAACAGATTGCAAATGTCTGTCATAATGGTTTGATGTCAAGAAGAAGCTGATAGAGTATCTAGTAATGTAAATTATCAAGGTCAGATTGGAAAGATCTAGAATGGATTCAGTGTTTTGTTGGTCCCAGTGGTGAAGAAACTTGGACTCAAACTATAAGCAAATAAAAACAACTTTCTGAGATTAAATAATAGAAATCTTACCCATGGGACTTGCAAATAGTAAGGCAACACAAGCTGAGTAGGATCTGCTTTGGTTGAATTTGCTGCCAGTTCTATTAACTCTACCCAAAAGGGTTTATTGGAATCAAATCAAAACAATTTCTATGACTGTTATCAGTGATTATAAAATTAGACACTTCCAGGTCACTTAAACAGATACTTTATAATAGCTTAAAAGGTTAATTCAAAAGGGCTGAGTGGTGAAGTTACCCCAGCACTTTTCTCCATACACTTTTTATAAACCTCATTTTCTGAAGGAAATAAAATATATATATATATATTATATATATATATCCATGTATGCACACACACCATCCTCCATTCTGTAACTTTTGAGTTTGTTGACCACATTTTCCACTACTGCATTTACCAGATAGATGATTATCAAATGCTCCAAGTCTTAGAAGTAAATGAAATTGGGTAAAGGTGACAGTTTGTTCATTTCCTAATTGAAAGAAAAAAAATGCGCCTTGAACTTAGTTTAATTAGAGAACAGAAACTGCACATATGAGACAGTTCGCTTAGAAAAGAATAGAGTCAAAGGGGTCTTGTTTTATCATGGTAGCGTGTGGTATCATTCTTTAGTATCATGAATACCAGAAGTCTGTGTGGGAAAGCAGTGGATCCATTTTCCAAGCTTAAAACTTCCATATTTTATGTTTAAACACATGTATTTGGCTCTCTTGTTATCTGATATTTTGAATTTCTCTGAATTTATTTCTGCTTTAACATAATCTGTAACTGAATTTGAATCCAAAGTCATCCAAAGTAGATGTATTCCATTGGTAATCAAGCTATTGGTTCATACAGAAGTATTTGTTTGTAGTATTCTATTTAAACATATTTAATTTTGTGATTTTTATAAAAGCATTATGAAAATGTAGTAATAGAGTTATGTTACAGAAAAGCATAATGTAGCTTAGTTTTGTTCTGGTTTTGCAGGTAGGACAAATGCATATTTTACTTCTTTTCCTAGAGGAGAAACTGATGGAAGTCCTTTCTGTCTTCCTTTTTCATCTAGCTTTTTTTTTTTTTTCCTGTGTGTATATCCATACTGTGCTGTATTTAAACCAAAAAGTGATGTTTACAAACAAATGAATATGCTTTTACTCTGATCATAGTGTAGTACAGCTGAGAAGTTGCACACTGAGAATTTAATAAACAGTTTCATTGCTAATGAAAACACACATCCCAGTAAGTTTGAAAACTTAGGGGCAATGGCCTTCTTCATGCATACAACACTGTTGTTGTTATTTCATGTGCACCTGCTTTTGTATGGGCATCTGACCCAAGTGGTGGATCTTAAGTGGTTCTCAGTGCTCTGGCAAACTGCAGATTCCTAAGTCCTCTGCTTTTTCAGAAAACCATGCAAAGGCCCAATATTGGCAGCATTAAACCATCAATTGTTGCAGTATTCTTTATTTCACATAGTCTGTGCTACATAAATCAAATTTAGGAAGAATAGACTGCAACTTAGCTGAAGGATGACAAATGTATCCAGGATCTCCAGCAAGAACACTGTATGACTGCAGTATCTATACTGGCAGCCGTACAAGTCCTTTCTCCTCTTTCTGTTTCTTACATTTTCTTTTTCAGTACAAAAAGACCCCCCCAAAACTCTACAATTCTACAACTTTACAATTTTTTTTTATTTTAAAAAGCGCAAATGAGTGATAGTGTAAAAGCATAATACAGTTTTCCAGATTTGGTTCTAGCTCTTGTCTGTGAGCGATGATAGACATAAGCTTTAGGAAAGAGCTGTTCTGTATAAGGGAGGAGTTTAATGTTTAAATGTCAATATAACCTTTAAAAATACCATGCAAGTAGTTTTAACCCTTAAAATACTGTAGAAAAATTTCCATGTGTTAACATTAAAAATTCCCTTCCTTTCGTCAGCTGCGAATGCTGCAAAATAAACATTGAATCACAGAGATCCATACATAGGGATGGTAAAACTGTTAATGTTTTATCTGGTGCAATCCACTAGAGATCCCTAGTAAGTTAAACTGTGGTATTCAGAAGTGCCTATTAACAAAGCTGGGTTATGCTACATGATTAACTTGGAATGTACTCTGCCTATAGCTAGTTTGAAGCAATGGTTTTTATAAAGCCTAATTCCTTGGGAACTACCTCTTGTCACTGAGCAGAGGTGAGTGACTATATCCTGGGAGTTGTGTGGGAATGTATCCGGCTGTATTTTCTAGGAACAAATTTCATTTTTTACCAAACAACACACAAACCTCACATCTTAATTCAACCTTTGCTTGTTTTCTGAAATGGAAGTGTCTGACATTGCCACAGTCCGCTTTGTGTTGCTTTGAATAAAAAATTATGTGTGTGAGAGAGAAAAAACAATTAAGGGATGTTGCTCCATTGTGAGGAAATTTGTAGCAAAATTTAAGCAAGAGCCAGATATTTTTGTTTAAGGATAGTTTGAAATAATAAATATAGAATATGGTGTACAAGAACGGCATGTCTATTGGGGTATTTCAGTTGTATTGTTATGCTGTTAGTTTCCAAGTTTATACTTTCAGCTTTTTAAATGTATATTATTAATATGGTTTATTTTTTATACATCTTAAAGGCTATTTATAACTTCCACACACTTTTCTGTATTGCAAGGGAAATGTCAGTTATCAGTGTGTTTTAGCTTTTTGTTAGAAATTCTCTAAAGAATCTCTGACCTCTATATGTATGTATATTTATTCTTGTCCTATCGTGCAGTATAAGCAAGAAATATCAGTTCTGTTGCTCTTTTCCTTTAAATATTGCTAATTATTTTTGCTTTTCTATGAAACAAGGAAAGAAAAGCTCCTTTTCTCATAATAGCCCAAGACTATTTGCACGGATTGGTTTAGATTTGACTCTATTACTGCTTTTCTTATTTTGTTCATTTGAAATAACTGTAGAAACTTGTAAAAATGTTAACAACACAGGTGTGAAATTCACAAAGGTAGGTACCTTATCAACAAAGTAATCCAAGAAATCTTCAGAGATATATAAATTAAACCTGTAGTTTATCTACAAGCTTTTGCACGCCATATTGTGATACTACTCTTTGAACTATTCTTTTTGTTACAAGGAAGATTAATTTGTGAAATCACTGTTGGTCTTTAACAGACACTTAACAAGTGATGCAGAAGGGAGAACACCAACAGTAGCATCTCCAGTTTTCAAACAGAAATGGTAAGATTTGAATCTGCCAAAAGCCAAAGTAATGATGTCAAATGCCCTTGCCCTTCCATCACTTTTATCATAGGGTGGGCAAAATATGAAGCAAAAATGCTCCATAAAGGAAGCAGATAGAGCCCAGTCAGGTAAGTGTAGAAAAAAATAGAAAATGAATGTCTCAGACATATTGTAAAATGGGTGATCCATCTCTGAAGAGGTTTAATTTTTGATCCCATAAGTAGATTTAAGTTTGTGTTGTGCATATCCCTGACTGAATTATCTTGTGTATCTGCCACCCAAGCACTTCTTAGGAAACCTTGTTTCCTTGAGAAGGGGTTTCAATCCTGGGCTTGCAGAGAGAACGTGACTTGATAGGAGGGTATCAGCATATCTTTTAACTGAAAAAAAAAATGGCTATTGTCTCTAATGAGAAATGTTAAAAAATGAATAGATCTGACCTCATGACTTAGGAACAGAAAGGAATATATTCTCTTTTAGGGTGCGGTGAAACCTTTTCATAGTCATAAATTAATTATTATTTTTGAAGACTTTTGTAGATTTGAGTACAAAAAAGGTGAGTTTAAGAACTTTAATCATCTTGCTAAACTGCTGGTTTAGCAGTGAATGCTTTTTTTTGTTCAAGAAAATAACATGCACACACATATACAAATCACTTATGTACTATGGTAGTAATAGATGCCTAATTCCCGTTCTCCTGTCTTGTTTGATCTTAGCATTGAGTTTCAGCATTTTTGTGTGGTGTAGAGCTATGATAATCCAAAGCACATCTTAAGTACAAACCAAACCTACATCCATTATTTGTTTTCTTCCAAAAATTGATCTCTAAACACAGAGAGTTGTTTGTGGATTTGAAAATATGCAAGAGCTATCGGATCGCCCAAGTATCAAAACCAGTAATTTGTCTATAGCTCAGTCATAAGCCTACAATGAAAATAAGCTTCAGTTTCTGAGCAAAATAGGAATTTTAATGCTTTTTGGATAAAAATGTAGGCATGGACAATCAAGCATGTTGATTTTTTTACTGGGTTAGAACACGTGAGCTTACATACTGGAACAGATCACTATTTGTAAAGATGCATGTGTCTAAATACCTGAATGTAAGACAAAAATAGCTACCAAGGAAAATTAAATCATCCTACATTTTTGAAAGGTGAGTTATTTATTCTAAACATTATCTCTGTAGAAACAGTTTAGAGAGAGAGCCATGCAGTAAACCTCAAGTGTAACCTAAATTACGTCACATAAAATTATTTTATTATCTAAGATTGAGGAGTTAGTCTGCCCTTTAGAAACTAGTAACCTTATGGCAGAGACTGGAAATGTCTACATATTGTCAGGCTATGGATAGTTTTCTAATGCAATAATAATTTATTTTAAGTAAATTGCACTGCTTTGAAATGTTGTCTTCCTGTGTATAAATGCTGCAGTGTTCAGAATGTTGCATTTTTTTTTGGACAACAGAAAGTCTGGATTAGTAGTAATACAAAAAGGAAACAATTTCCCTATGCTCAGTCAATGAAATGATGCAAACAAGTAAAGGCTGCATTATACTTTTCTGTAAGAGATGCTTTGGCCACACAAAGAGAACTGATGAGGTGGAAAAGCTTTGAGAAGGAAAGACTCAAGAGTTTTATGGGGACCCCCATGGATTTCAAGGCATCTCTGGTGGATAATAGGCTTTCTTTCTATTAATATGGGTCAGTCAGGAGCACTGGTACTATTAGTGATTTATTTATGTCTGTGGCAGATAACAGAAGTGGAATGTTACTCCCATTCAAACATGCCCTTTAGTCAAGTTAAACAAAATAGGGATGGATATATATATATAAAATATGTGTCTATATATATTAGTAGACTCACAGGTTGAGATTAGAACTACTATTTACTGTTCCTTCATGTTATATGTTTGTGTTTTCATGATGGGGTTCATGAACTTTCTAAGGGAAGGAAGGAAAGAATTCCCTACTCTAATATATCTGCTTATTCCTTTCATTTTATTTTTTATATAAATTGTATTTTCTAGATCTTTGGTTATCCATGTTACTGTCCTTTAGAGCAGTAAGCACCCATCTTTCTTCAAGTGCAGTGCCATTAACTGAATACAGTATTCCAGTGGAGGCATTACCAGCACCAGTGGAGGGATTGCTCCAGGTATTTATGCTTCTGTTCCAGCATGTTATCTGTCTTTCCATCCAGTGTGATGTAGCTGACTCGTGCTTAGTTTGGGATCCACTTCAGTCATACATTTTTACAGAACTTTTATCTATCCAGCCAATCACAACTTGCCCAATATTGCTGCAGTTAATCATTCATACATGACTCCAAAATTCTGTTCTTTCCTTTAAACTGCATCCTATTTTTAGACTAGTCAACTAATTTTCCAGGATTATTTTCAATTCCAGTATTTTATTCCAATATTGTACTCTCATGGTTTGTTCTCCTACAGTACTGTCATCCATAAATAGGGTGTAATTTCTCCTGTTACCCAAGATAGTGATGATAATATTGAACAATATTGGACCCATAATGAATCTGTGTGTGACTCTGCTCCAAACATTCTCCCAGTTTGGCTGGAAAGCACTAACAACTTGATTTTTTTTTTCCCAGACATTTTTACATATGTTGTGAACACATTTCCTAGAATGCTTGTGAAAATGCTACGCAAAATACTGTGAGCACTTTAAGATGTATAATATTTAATGCTTTTCCTCACTGTCTCTCCACCAGATACATTTTTTGGTCATCAATGTAAAACATACAGGTTTGACAGCATGGGTTATTATTTAGGACTTTTATCAGAGGTCAGAGTCTAAATTAGTCCTTTTGTGTTCCTATCTGTCAATACTGTAGAAGCACAGGTAGTTTAAAAGTGCTTTTTTTGTTTTAGTGCACTCTGAAATTACCAAAGCACTGCTGAAAATTAGAGGTGCATCTAAGTTAAGAGAGAAGGATATAACAAATTGATATAAAAGATGGACACAGTGGAAATGCCAAGAAATCTGAGTAGCATAAAGTTAGTCAATATTACTAATATATTTTCATTGAATTATCATAAAAGCACCTGCAACTTATCTGCATTTATAAACTTTTGATATGTATAGCTATATATAATTAATTCATATTAAAATGTACACCATAAATCCACAGCTGCGCACATAAAAGGTCTTCCATTCTCATTGTATACAATTGTATACTGAGCCAACTCAATCAGCTACAGCTGTTGGGCTTTGTTCTGTGCAGCAAATTCACTCTCTACTAACTACATACTGCTATGAATAATTCGCAGCTGATGCGTGTGTATTTTTATATAAATGCCTCCAGTAGGGGGTATCCTTTATTTATGGCCAATATTTTGGCAGATTTTAAGACAGTGATGCCAAGTACTGGAATGCCTCAGCCAAAGCACACTTGTTGTTATACTCCATGAATTGCCACATTGTAAGTGCAAAATCCAGTTTTACTATGCCACAGAATGCTATTTTGACTATCAAAAAGCTTACCTTATCCTTCCATGCACATTGGGCTTACTGCCAACCGAGTAAGAAGCCTGGCACATCTTTTATAGTCTGTCATGGAAAAAAAAAAAAAACACCATAAACATATACACGTTTAAAGTGACCAGTTTTGCCTTATGAAAATCAACATTGTTGAAGTTGTGCAAATTACTGTTACAATAAACTTTAATCGACATCTTAGTTTGTAACAGTAATAGAAATCTGTTCTTCAGAGCTAGAAATTTAGTGTGCAGCAGTTATAACTGTAATCCTGGTCTAACTAGTACATACAACTATCTGCATATCTTAATATAGATATGTAGACATTATCTGAGTGCATGGATGCATGAAAATTTATGTATCTGCCTGTATTCAAGTGTGGGAGCTAAACATGTAACTACAGTATTTCCACATTAGGGGAAGAAAATCTACTGCTAAAACATCTTTACTATTCAGCCCTCAGTGAATAGGTCTAATAACATAATTAAAATATAACGCAGCTTTCCAATATATGTTATTTCTGAAGGAACTGGTATATTAGATGAGTAAGGCAGACACCTTTGATAGAATGATGTTGATAGATAGATGTTGATAGAAACATAACAAATTCCCCTATACTAAGGTAGAATGACTTCACTTATTCTTTTGATGCTCCCTGTAGTATCACAGGAACATTAAGTCTGTCCTCTAGCTATATAAGGAGCCATATCATATAAATCCATTCATAACTGTATCAGGTTTAATCTTAAAATTAGTTAGGTGCTTTTTTCCACAGCTATTTCATACTTGTTAGTAGTTCTTGTGTTAGGCACTTTCTGCTTTTTGATGCATTCATAATAAGCAGCTGCGTAGCAAAGTAATTTTGCGTCAGTTTTGTTGAAAATGAATCAAGGGACACGTGATTTTTTTCCTTGACATGGCTGAGAGGAAATTATGTGGAAGCTGGCCATGGACAGACACCAGACTAAGTCAGTGTGCATACATCAAGGCTACTATGCTACACAAGGCACTAGAAAGTAGGGCGGCAGAACATGTTCGTACTAGTTACTGCCTTGTTGCAGCATCATCCGCACTTTTCTTGTTGATTTGCCTTTCAGTGTCTACCTACTGAATAGATATTGATCTAAGATCAGTAATGTGGTACTATGTGCAAAGAATTACAAGAAACCTGTTTTAAGAAGATGCTAGAGAGTCTAGCCTAGTGACTGAAAATCAGTATCAACAATCCCAAAATCACAACTTAGATATGCTGTAGTTGCCATTTATACAAATTATGTTCCGTTACTCAGAAATCACTGTGTAGATAGGTATTTCACCTGTTGAGAGGAAAAAGTAAATTCAGGCTTTCAGGCCAACTATTCTGTAGCTTCACAGCTGAAGGTACTAGTTAGTGCCGAGCCAAATGATGTTTGCAATGACCTTCATGGGAAAGGTAATCTCCTCATTAACAACAGACTAGTTGTTAATAACTCCATCATTACAACCCATGTAAGCTGAACACGACCTGGTTAGCCATTATCTGTAATTCTTCATCTACTGTAAGTAGCCTGCTATCTTTCTAAAATGGTCATAATCTGAATACTTATAATTAGGAAGAAAGTCTTCAATTTTTAACAAATGCATTTAAAATATATTGAGCTGAAATATTACTACTTGAACTTTGGAATCTGAAACTCTTGATTCTATTCCTAGCTCTGCTACTGACCCAACTGCTTGACCTTAGACAAGTAAAATAAAGTGCTCTTCCACTCTTAAAAAGTCTGTACTAAAATAGCATCTTCTTACTCCACAGGTCTGCCTCTTTATCTGTAGTTACATCTACTGACTGATAAATGTCAATTCCTGATTTCTTTTTAATTGTCTGTGCTACTGAGATACTGCCGTTTGTTTATCAGCTGGATTACTAAGCCCTAATAAGTTATACTTCTCTATTTCACTGAAGATGGGTTGCAAAGATTTACAGAGATCACTGACAAGCTGACTTGACAAAATGTAATATGTTGTAACATATGCTTTCCATAAGATAATTCATAAGAAGAAGGTAGTCCTATCTGGCTTTCTGATTCTGTCTTGGGACTGCCTAAATACAAGCAGTTTGGGAAAGGAGTTATATGTTCCTAGGCAAAATAAACACCTGTGATTTGGAATAAAACAGACATGCATAGGTGTCTAGGAAGCAGTGTTTACAGTCATTCTACACAGTGTATTTGTACTGAAGTTGTAGCCAGTAATACAATCCCAGCAAGCATGCTGTAAAAGCTCACTTAGTACCCTTCAGAACACTCCAGACTTCACTGAGAGAAACATAGCCTAGCATAGTATCACGAATCTGGTATCCCACAGAGCTACTATATTTAGGAGTTTTCTGAGGTTTTATGAAAGTTAACCTTAGCTTTTGGCACTTACATGCTGGGATGGTGCAGTCCCTTGTATTGTGATAAAGTCGATGAAAGTGTTTGCTGCATTTAGGGCTGAAGTAGAGAGGACCTGAAACATAAGAAAAGTAATTCGTTAATCAGCACAGCTCACAGGAGCTATTTGAAGAACAGTGCAGCCTACAGTTTGTAGATGAAATAATGGATACAAATGCAAAATTAAACATACCTGTTAAATGCTTTAAAAACTTGTCTTTCATCCTCAAATCTCTGGGAACTATTTCTGTTGGACAGAAAAAAATATATATATATTCACTGTGCTACAGTGGAACTATGTTTGCCAAGTATAGTTTTTTTTAAAAAAAAGAGGATAAACTCTGATAAACAAAAAAAAACACTGCTACATTTTCACAGACACACAAAGATCAAAACTTGTTTGTGTACAATGAACCAAATTGTAATTTTTGGTTTTACATATGGAGCCACAGTAAAAAGTACTGCAGAGCACTGTGATGATGAAACATACAGCTGTTAGGTGTGCAGTCATTAATGCTGCTGACAACTAAGATCCAGATTTTAGTTTTTTGTGATTTGCATTATCACCTTACCTAGATTTAAATTCTTTAAGAAAAATTAGTTCACAGTTGCTCAGAAATGACATATTCCCTTAATGGTAAACATCAGTAAATATATTGAAGTTTGGTATCCCAATCTCTTCTGATTCTCTTATGCAAATGTATCCACTATTTTGTCAGAAGTGTTTGGTACAAGCACTATTTGGCTGTAATCATGAAACGGGATTGATCTACTTACAGGAATCTTTCTTCTAGCTGTAAATAAACTTCACAGGAAATGATCCCAAGCAAATTGCTCTCTTCTGGCTCCCTATGTTTGTGGTTTACTGGCTCGCATTTTGTGTTCAGCAGATGGCAAAATGAAACTGGTTTACTGAAATCCATTTTAGCCCTAACCTTTGCTTGTGTCTTCCTGATTTACAGCTATCTTTGATTGCTCTCCATTACAAACTCTATGCTGATAGCTTAGTGATGCTTGTGTATGATACATTTATGGTCAAATAAATATAGCACCACACAGTGTATGAGCAGCCTTTTTCATTCCCCTGGCACCTCTTATCAGATATAAAGCAGAGAACATTTCCATCCAGATCTGACTGACTAGTGAGGTTAGACACTTCTCGAAAGTCATTCTTCATTTACTTCTAACTTTAGTGAGTGTAAGTAAAATTGACCTTATCATATTTGACCGAATTATGTCACGAAGCGTATTAAAGACGCACATGCTTCACTCGGGCATTTCCCATGGGACTGGCTCACTGGGACCGTGATACCTAAACTGCAAGGTCTCTAAGCAGTAGAGTCCTCTGGAAAGGAACCTTTTCAGAATGACTGGTAATAATTCTATTATAACAACAGAATGACAAATCCTGTTAGAAGACAACGGCAGCAGTACCAAGAATCTGCTCTCAAGAGGTTTCATATGCACATGCACAATGTATCATCAAGAGCCAGGTGTTTCACACCAGCTCACAGATGTAGGATAGCCAACTTGGCCCAGATTCCAAGTTAAGAATGTGTAAATTCCAGTCCACTGCCAGTCTGGCCTCCTAAGTATTCAACATTTATCACATGAAATGTGCAGTGTGTGCTGATCTTAACTAGAACAAAACTCTTCATATGTTCATGCATCATCCAGGTGGAGATAACACTTACAGTAACATTTTAGTGACAATCATCAACAACAGCTGATCACTGTGGTTGTTAATATAGTGAGAATTAAGAAAAGGTAGAAGCTTTATGAGATCAATAAATGGACACATAAGTAGCAAAGTGAAAGCCAGTTTGAAAAAGAAAAATGAACAGACCTCTGCTGGAAGATATTCAGAAAGTCATTTCCAGTAGGAGGTGTAAGCTGAGCAGCAATAATACTGACTGGGTTTGGGAATGACACTGAACAATAAATTAGACATGGCAGCAGGAGAAGCCAAATCAGCTTTCAGACGGATGCACAGAAGTACATTGTGAAACTGAGCTTTAGCTATCCTTCACCATGGGGCTTGCTGTGACTCTTTCTGGACTGCTTATACAATTTTCAATGTCCTTACAAAAATAAATAAATAAATATGGATTTTCACTGGAGATTAGAGAAAAGAAATTCAGATGAGTGGAATGATGGCTGAAGGAATGGGCTTGGGGAGTGACAGAGTACCCTGTGCCAATCCTCTAGTATTTCAAGGATGCTAGCACCAGAGTACAAACGGGACTCGTAAGTAGGGGTGAAAAGTTTAATAAGGCTGAATTGTAGGAAAGACTTTTAAATGTGAATGCTGTAAGGGCACAGTCTAGTCCTGCACAGGATTATTGGTAATTTCCAGGAAGGACTTTAAAAAATAATAATAATTAAAAAAAGGTAAGCTTTTGGGGAAGAAGCTGCAATTCTGAAAGTGCAGTCCATATGATTTGCTGATAACAAGGGGAATAGTAGGTATTGCGAGGGATAAGTTCTTGATATAAAACTAGCATGCTGCTGTGATTTCTGATTGCCCAAGGCAGTAGAGAAAGAAAAAAAATCCCCGAAGTCATGGATTGTCACTTACCAACTCTCTGCTCATCCTGATATCCCCCATAGTCTGCCACTTCCCTTCGGTCTAAGGTGTAGTCATGTTTGGAAAAGTACTGCACCCCACTGTCCTTCTCCAGGTGGTACCTTTTCAGTTCCTGAATAATCTCCATGATCAGATTTAAGAGACTTTGCCTGTCCTTCAAATCCGTGGAGTCGGTTTTCTCTTTGCAATATCCTGCTGAGAGCATGAGGAGCACTAGCCCCAGCAAGCCGGGAGAGCGCAGTCCACTCATTGCAGCTGACCCGACGGGTGACAGAGTGGATGGGAAGGAAGGATCCGCGGCTGTGCGAGGCCTCCTCTTTACCTGAAATAGGAAAACCAGGGGTGTGTTGGAGATGGGGAGGCCCAAGGCGGCGGGACTAGAAACGTTACAGGAGAAAAGCAGCGGGTCCGCTTTTCAAGTTACATAAAGCTTGGGGGTGGTGGGGGGGAAGCGCGCGGGAGGCGGCAACTTTGCGCCCAGTTGGGGCCGGGGAAGCGCCC